TGTTGGATTTGTGCTCTGTGCAAGTGTGTCCAAAGGAGCAAGGGTTGTACTTTCCCTTTCCCTTCATCAGCATCATCCTTGGGCACCACAAGCTGGGCGTATGAATTTGGTCTCCTCCTGAGAAAGTGGGAAGCAGAGGAAGCGGTACGGCATTAGGAGCATACAGAGACAGTGTAGCCTGTAAAGTATGCCTTTAGCATTCATTTGATTCACTAAAGGTATTTTTAAGTTGCTGGCTAGCCTGTAAAATCGTAGCCTGCTGACAGAAATGCCACATCACTCCTTGTGTAGCAGGTTTGAGAGAGGAAACCAGATGAAAGCACAGGACCAGTAGTGCAGCTGTCTGTATTGGGCAACTTTCTGCACACTTTTGTTTGATATGGATCAGATACTGATGGCCTTGACTAAGCACAAAAATCATGTTGCATTTCCTTGGCCCACACCTCTTCTGTTTTGCAGGGCATCCTTGCCCCATTCTCTGTTCACTTGCCCACCTCGTATGAGCTGACGTGGGGTCAGGCTGTTTGGTAGCTCCTCCTCGGGTGGATTTTCCTGCCACTGCACAGCCTGCTGCTTTACAGGGCTGGGGAAATCCAGAGCTGTTTTGCCTCTCAGAACCATTTTTCTCTTTTGCCTGCAGCCCAGCATTAGCGGGGTCGACCTGGACAAGTTCCGCCAGATCCTGCTCAACCACTGCGACATGAACAAGGATGGGAAAATTCAGAAATCCGAACTGGCTTTGTGTCTTGGGCTTAAAATGAACCCATAGGTGGAAGAGTGCTCATGGTTGCGTTTCCCTTGTGAGATTTGCCTGCTGCTCCTTGTAGAAGTGTGTCCGTGCTGCCGTGTGAGTGGTGAGGAGCAGGGGCACCGCACTGCCAGGCTGGAGAACGGCTGCATGAGGATGCGGCAGAGTGGGATCTGCATGGAGGGCCTCCCTGCTCCGCCACTCCCTTCGTGGTGTTCGCTCGCTGCCGCCACTTGTGGGTCCCCTTAGCAATGTCTCTGCCCACGAGCACACCAGCAGCTCAGAAAAGGGGTTGCTGTTCTTCTCCTGCCCCCATGAAATGCTGCCCTGCCCGTCCCCTAGGATAGGGACAAGCATCTCCTTAAAAATGTCCCATCAGTGCGCTCAGAGCGCAGCTACTAGGTGTTTCTGATGGTCACCTTATTTGTGAAGTCATTACTTTGGTCAGCATCGCGCTTTGTCTGTGCATTTAAAATACTGGATGGATGACAGTGTATTTGTGCAGAAATAAAAAATGGCAGTTACAAAAATTCAGCAAGATTGGAGTTTATGTATTATGTGCGGAAAGCCATCTGCCGCAGGCTGGCAGACCGTACATAGTAGCCATTTTATATAAAATGCATCAAATGGCAAGAGGTTTTGTGATGCCCATCAGCTGTGGTGTTTAAATCTGCCAGGAAATGAAACATGGTAGATCCTTCTCACGGGGAAACCACACACCCCAGGAAATAACATCACCTACAGGATGAAGCCATGGAGTAACATCACTTCTGGAGGAAGCCTTTCTTCCAACCTGAACTGAAACATATACAAGGTTTCTATAAACTGAAAAACTGGAAGGACAGAAGCCTAATGAGAGCAGAGCTCTTAAGCACATGCTTATTTTTTTAAAATCCATAAGAGTTAGTAAATACTTGTAACCTTTATTGAACTTAAAGCTTCCCATCACTGCCGGGCCATGAGTGTAATCCTGGAGCCTAATGGCAGCAGTATCATTTGTGCCACATGTTTCCCCATTCCAAATGCTTTGACTGCGTATTCAGAAAGTGCCGCACCTACGCTTTCATGCCCAAATAATTCTTAATTTCTGACAAGAAAACTGCGGAGGAAGGGTTGTTGGCAAAACTCTGCACATTTCAGCATTTCTGTCTCCTACGGATGAGAGACCCAGATTTGACACTACAAGTGTCTTTCTGATTATGTTCTTTGCACAAGTCAGTACAATGAAACACTCTTTTTATACACAGTTTTATAAAAATTAATCAGAAATTACCTTCATTCAACACAAATAGAGTTGGGGATGCTGGTTCAATAAAGCACTTAAGAACATACACAACTTTAGAGATATGCTCATTTTCTATTTTCACTGAGGATAAGCTCACAGACCAAACAAGTGCTAAATGCGTGTTTCACCCCAGCACAGAACTAGGGCTTTAAACTCCAAAACTGCTTTTTAGCACCCTGGCAGCAACACAAATCACAACCGCAATAACAGAGCTTTATAATGGTTCAGAAGAACTATAAACAAGGAATCAGGCCTTAGCAGCAGCTCCCCAAGCCATCAGGGATGCACTTTTATTCATCGTACCTCCAATAGGATGTGACTTACCAGCCTAAATAATTATGCCTTTAAGTTTATTCTTCTGTTTCTCTCTCTTCTTTCAGCCTCTATATTGTTCTTGCTGTTATTATTTTCTTAAACTACTTTCCATTACTTTGAACATGGGAGCAATTTCTGTGCCATCCCCTACAATATATTTCTACCTGTAGATGTATGTTCTTTATGCTATTTGTATTTTTCGGTGGTAACAGGTCCATTCTGTTTCAGCCCTGTTTAAGCCTATTGATATTAGTAGAATTTTTTCTCATTTATTAAAGTATCAATTCAAGAACATCCTGCCCTACCTCACCAAAAATACAGCAACTTTTAGCCTGAAATGAAAATAATCTTTTAAAGACTGTATACAACCACAGATCTTATTTCAAGAATTATACAACATTTCATTCATCTTTATCTAAACCTTAGCTTTTCACATCCTCTACAGCCAATAGGCTTTTTTCAACAGACACTAAGCAGTAATGAATTTGATATGTTGATGTGACAATCTATTTTGCTTATTTTTTACAAATTTTTGAATTTTTTTTTAATACTGAGTTTGCTGAAGCCTTCCTCTCTGCAAGTTCATGCAACTAGTTTTATTAGACTGAAATAAGTGTGTGCATAGCCTTCAGCAAGTGAGTTTACAAGAGCAGTTTATAGAACATTAGCAAAAAGTAATTGGGGATAGTAGATGAAAAGTTTACATACAGAACTCAGAAGAGGGGTTTTTTTTAAATTTAGTTCTGTATTCCCGTGAGGATATTTTTTGTGTCCAGAGCAGCAACTAGAGAGTGGGAAAACAGGCATGCACACTGCCTTGTTTGCAGGGACCATAGGGGAGAGCCTTATCCCAGTGGGATTCCAGCTCAAGTGAGCTGCAGGTCCCCTATAAGCAAAACAAAATGTCAGGAGATGCAGGGGGATTTGAGTCCACATTACAAAGGTCAGCAAGGCAATTATTAATGAGCCATGGTCTTATAACCCTCTAGACTCTAAAAGTCAATGTTATTGCAGGAGGCAGGCATTCTGAGACTTCCCATGGAGAAGACATGTTCCTTGCTTGCAGAGATTTTTTTAAAATTATTATTTTCACTTCAGTAATGAATGATCTGTAAGGCCCTTTGGTCTCAGGCTCTGGTGATTTCATCCCTTTAAGCTGCTATAGATATATAGCTAGGCAATACATTTTGATAAAAAATAGCTGTTGGCCATTTTGCAAATTCAATGCATACTTTAATGTACAGTGTGGAGTCTCTTACGTACCAAAATATGAGACAACTATTTCACATTTGAATGGTAACACAAAAATACATGTTTTGGTTAATTATATGAAAACATCTTGCCTACAAAACCAAAAATATTTATACACCATGATGCCTTCTGTGCTATAAATATATTGAAGATATGCAAGGAAGGTTTGGGGCTGTTCGATCAGTGCATCTTCTGCCAACAAAATTCTGCAGATGTCACATTATTTAGGAGCCTGCATCTTGGTAACTGGAATTTGAACACAGAAAGTGAATGAAAATGTTTTCCAAGATATTTTCCCTTGGTAGTTTCATGCTTTTCTCTAGAAAACTGGGATTGAAAGATTCACAGTTTTGTATTTCTTCATAGTACTCACATTTACTGAAATAAATTTTAACCGACTTATATCTTCATATTTAACAGGTATATTTCCAAAAGATATTTAGCTACCACAAGCATAGTGGTTAACATGCACAGCACTCCCAAATGTGTCGTTTTAAGGTTGGTTTTTTTCCTTTGTTGGTTTAATTGGCACTGCTGGATCTGGAAATCAATGTCTGAATTTTCTCAAAGCAATGCTGTTCTTTTGCCTCCCTTTTCGCTGTCGTGGTTTAACCCCAGCCAGAAACTAAGCCCCATACAGCCACTTGCTCACTCTCCACCCCTGGTGGGATGGGGGAGAGAATCGGAAGAAAAAGTGAGAAAACTCATGGGTTGAGATAAAGACCGTTTAATAGGCAAAGCAAAAGCCGCGCATGCAAGCAAAGCAAAACAAGGAATTCATTCACTCCTTCCCATCGGCAGGCAGGTGTTCAGCCATCTCCAGGAGAGCAGGGCTCCATCATGTGTTATGGTGACTTGGGAAGACAAACGCCATCACTGTGAACATCCCCCACTTCCTTCTTGTTCCCCCAGGTTTCTATGCTGAGCATGACGTCATATGGCGTGGGACATGCCTTTGGTCAGTTGGGGTCAGCTGTCCCGGCTGTGTCCCCTCCCAGCTTCTTGTGCACCCCCAGCCTGCTCGCTGGTGGGGTGGGGTGAGAAGCAGAAAAGGCCTTGATGCTGTGTAAGCACTGCTCAGCAGTAACTAAAACATCCCTGTAGTACCAACACTGTTTCCAGCACAAATCCAAAACTTAGCCTCATAGTAGCTGCTATGAAGAAAATTAACTCTATCCCAGCCAAAACCAACACATATGAGATCATGCCCTGCACTCCCATCATGCTCCCTGCTCATCTCGGCCCTTCTCATCTTTGGCACTTGACATAGTTTTTTTCTGGATGACTTGCCATGAAAACATTGCTCAGAAGATGCCTCTGACAGCTTCAGTTGACTGTGTAGAACTGATACCCATGAAAAATGAACATTTATAGGGCTCTTTAACTCAAATCCATCTCTCGTTTAACTTCATTGGTTTCACTGGAAATGATGGTATAGAGACACAATCTTTTCTCCCATCATTTTGAACCTCAGCAAGCTGCTTGCTCATCCAGAGCCGTCACCATGGAGATCTACCACCAGAGACCCCCAATTTCCTGACCCAGCCTCATGATCCCAAATTGCTCACGTGCCAGCTTGTCCCTTGGTCTGGGCAATTTTGTCCCCAGAAAAATGAACCCAAATACACACACTCACCTCTTTCTCCAGTCTGAACAGACTCCACCAGTCTCGTATCACTGAGTCCCAAACTGGAACCTGATGAGATGTTTACAAAGTGTAACATTTAAATTTCGTTGGTGCTTTATTTTCAGATTTTCAGTAAAAGACTTCTCTCCATTTATTCTCCCAAAACTGCTTTAAACAACACTGGTGAACCTGCCTGTACATCTTACGAAAAACCGCTTTTTATTCCTACTGAAAGCTGAGAATTGAGCATCAGCCCCAAAGCAGGGCTCAGAGCATAGGAAACCAGCACAATATTTTGATTAATCTGCTTTTCTGTTTGTGTGGCAAGAGAATAGTGTCAATATTAATGAAAACAATCGTGACTAATGCAGCCAACAAGACTATCAGAGATCATCTGCCACATTACAATAGGGGCCCATCATGAGAAACACCTTAATTACAGCTATTATCTCTTAAAATGGCTGGGTAACTCTTATATTAATCTGATTTGAAACAGAAAGTTGCTGTTACATAGTGAGATGTTAAATGGGGCTTTGCTGTGTAATTACATGGGGTAAAGTAACTATGACAGTCATTTCTGTGTGAGGGCCACACAGACTGCTAATGAAAAGCTCTCATTTTCTGGCTCTGTTGCAT